TCTTCTTGAAACGGTCAAAGATTGAAGCGTCCTCCCACTTTCGGCTTTCGTTTAATCTCCTCTGCAACACAGCCTCAACCACCTACTCTTTTGTTTGCGAGTATCACATATTTTTTACACCAGTTCTGGTAGGTTTGATCTTCATTCCCTGCAACATCCTTTTCACCATCTGGATGTGGTTGATTTTCCGGTGCTTGGTTGGGTTGGATATCTCTTGGTTTGTCTTCATTTCTCCATAAAAAGTTCTGCAACTCCCTTACGAACAGCATCCACCCCTTACTCTGTTTTCCCATGGGGATACAAATCATATGTCTTCTACCTTCACCGAACCATTCTGAGACTGTTGCGAACCAGCCCTTCCTGTTGAAGCGAAGTTCAGCTACGAATATCATTCCGTTGATTTTGATTGAGTTCTTCCATGCCTGTGATTTCCTCTAAACTAAAGCTACGTCCACGAAGCCTTTCAGCCAAGCTGCTACCTCCTTTTGGAGATACACCGTGGCTCCATACTTCCTTTCTCCACCTTCCCACTACTTCGAACTCGCCCTCCATCCTTGTCTGATACACATTGGCATCGATGGCTGATATGTAGCTCTCCAACATTCCAAAAATTCAACCAATTGCAAAGGCAAAAAGTCAAACCTTTGAACAAATATCTAAAACATAAAATACCTATAATAATAGACAGACTATAACAAAGACCTTCCAAAAGACAAACATAAAAACAAATAGACAGAAGTCACAGAAAAACCCCAAAAGACCAGGGTAACAGCTACCTATCCACCAACAGATGACTGAGCCAAAAAAAACAGTACTGATCTAACAACATATTGCAGCACCAACAAAAACACCCGGGGAATCCACAATCCAGCCTCTCTATTTATCCAGCTTGCCATTAAGAACATATTCAGAACAATAGCAAATATAGCCTCCCGAGAAAACTGAATTTTCAGTGCTCTCTCTAATTTCTAATTCCAAAAAAGCTCTTTTGGCAAAATCTTCACCCAGAAAAAAATGTACCCAGACTCTTAGCAACTTGAATATCCCCCTCAACAAACCTACTTAATTCCAGCTTATCCTTATCTGAGGACTTCCTTCATTGGAAACAAAGCTATGAGCAGTTTGTGTCTCTTTTTTTTTTTTCTTTCTCTCAAAGTTGTTCTCTAAGCTATGCACCTCCACCAACTTACTGACTCCTACACTCTCAATGCCGCAGACCTCCATCAACCTTCCCATCTGAAATCAGACTTGAAGAACATTCTGCCTGAGTCAAGGCCAACTTTTCTGATAAAGAACTCAACACTTCATCCACACCCTCTTGAGCTTCTTCTCTTATAAACCTTTTGTGTATTTTCATGTTCTAACTACTTATAATGTAACCTTTGAACTTCTCATTTTCTGATAAGATAAACTTTGTAGAGCCAATGAAGTGATTAAATGGGCTAATAAAGATAAAGAAAATTTAATTGAGTATTGGTTCATATCAAAGCTTCAACTCTTTCTGATGTATTGGTTGACAGGCATCTATAACAGACAACTTCTAGATCTTGCCCACCAATGACTTACGAACAAATAACTGTTTAAAAGATAACGAGCAGAAAAGGCTCCAATTTAATAAGTTGATCCCATTTCAACCTCTGGGATGCCTCTTTCTTGTAGATTTATGTTTCTAATTTAATAAAATTGTTTCCCGTTATTCATAAAAAAATTGGTAGGTTGAACCAAATGGTGGTGGTGAAAACAACAGAAACAATACTAGATATGTTTTCATGGAGAAATGGTGGATTTTCAGTTCCCACAACCCTATCTTTTCATTATCGATTCAGCAATGGAGAGGGGAAAAACTTCTAAATAATAATTAAAAAATTAAAGGGAAAAGGAAGATAATTATAAAAAAAAATAGAAAGAGGGGCTTCATATATTAGACCAAAAATAAAAATAGAAATAAACATAAACAGATGTATCAAAGTTGAGTCTGAACTATCTATCAGGAAATTACGCAGCATAGTTCTACAAATGTTTAAGAAGAAATAATTACCACATAAGGACTGAGGACTCCATCATCTGGTACCTAGAACTTACCAGGAAAACAGCGAGGAAGGGATGTCATAAGGACTGAGGAGACCATCAGCTGATACCTAGAAACAAGATGGGGTCTTTTCCGGATTTGGTTTTCCTCCAGACACACTTTCCTTGTATGACTGTAAAGCATGAACTGATATTAGCAGGCACTTTTCCTGATACTGTTTTTCTAAACATATCTCTTCCAGTGACTTACATAACACTTGCTGGGCCTCATCCGCATTAATCTGTATTGACATTTATTATCAGTTCTGTAATGACAAATTTTAATCAATTCGGAAATCAGTACAGCACCAAAAGAGTCCAAACAAACCAACAATAGATATCAATTGCAGTATAGAGATAACAGGGATAACTGAAGACACATTGAGGAGAATCTCAGTTAATTGTCTCCAAAAATATAAGTCATTGCAGATTCATGTATGTGAAAAGAAGTTTGAGTGATCTGAAAGTAAATGGCTTAGTGCAGTAACCATCAGGATGTTATTTGTGTCTGCTAGGTTGATTCTCTAATAAACGAAAGAGCATGCGAGCGGCACACATAACGAAGAATTCAAATACAGACAAGACATACAAATAGAACATCACCATTTTCCTGTATCTACTCAGAAATGCGATTATGAACATCAACAAATAAAAACTGGCATCAACGGAGATATGTTAAGATGACATGGTTTCATACATGGAGTTTATTAAGCTCCGATGTTGCCACGTCACTATAACTATCAAAATGTTGCCAAAACCTTGACGCACCATTTTTCTCAAATGTTTCCTGCAATCAAAGGAGATGCCAATTTCGCACATGAGGAAACCATTTTTTTTTTTTGTATTTATTGCTTACTTTTCCTCTCTCTTTAAGGTCGAGATCTTTAGAGCATTCCAGTGCCATTACAGAAGAAAGGGAGTAAAGGCAGCGCCATTTGAATTGATTAAAAAAAAGGAAAATCGTTTGACAAACCTATAGCTCCCGAAGAAAGTAATCCTGGACAAGAGAGTCGAGGCCGTACTTGCAAAGAATGTGCACTTGAGAAACAAACGCCGACCCAATCGAAAGGTCCCCATTATCCTTCAGAAGGACCTCTGTGCTGGCACAGAAACCGTTCCAGCTCTGCAAAATCTCGTCAATTGATTCATCGCCAATTGAATCCAAAATCCCCAGGTTATGAACCCAATATGCCCCGCCCTTCTCTATTTGCATGGTTACTTAGTTCAGAGGCTCTTTGGTGAACAACGACGTCAATTATAGCAATTACACTGGAGAAACCCTAGATTACCAGATAAGGCACTCGAAGAAAGCATTAATGCACGGAGCGACAGAGAGACCAGTCGTCCTGTGACTGCTACTTGTTTTGGCAGGGGGAACTCGTGAGGCAATGAGCCCTCCTCCGTTGTTACTTGGTTGAGAAATGGGAGATGTGATAGACGAACGAGCGGGAGAATTTGTTCTGCAATTCGCCGCCAGATCGTTAATACGAAGGAAGAAATAGATGAAAAGAAAAGTGGCGCCGGGACGCGATGCAGTAGGCCAAACTACTGATCTAAGCCCATTTGTCATCCATGGACCAATTCATTTGAGTGGATATTCGATCAGGCCCATGGATCAGAACGTCAATTGTGAAAATGGGATCATAAATTACTTTCTCTATTTGATATACTTATTGTTTATTGATACCATTTATGCGAGATCGGGATTCGCTATTCACGTAGCGCTTTCAAATATGCATGTCAATGATACCCGAAAATCCGAGTTCCGATCCAATTATCTTACATTTGGACGATATATTTATGTAATGGAATCAAATTCAAATGTTGTAATTTATATATAATTAATAATTGAATTATTTTTTAATTTGATTCCATCCTTTTCTATTAAATTTTGAATTAAATTATATTATAATAAATTAAAAATATTTCTCCATGAATAACATACAAGTACGGAAAATATTCTCAATGCAGGGTGAGCAAATCCCGTTTCCATTTATCCAGACAAGTTCATCATCTGACAGAGCGCACCTCACAAAAGTTCACAGTATATCAATCACAATCGTACATTGGGAATATAGTCTCATGAATGACAACATACTAGTATGGAAGATGTTTCCAGTGCATAGCTGAAAGCGCTGTGAAGCTGGTGTGAAAAACAAATCCGGATTCACTGAAATTCAAATCATCTGGCCTTTCAAAAATATATCCAGATTATCTGACAAAAGTCTGAGTTTATACAATGTTTTAAATTTCGCTGAAATTCCACCAAATTTTACACAATAATGGTTTTCCTTTCAGAATCAAAATCCTTTGATTTTGGTTTGGAATTTTTTATGGAACTTTGATATTTTGTTGAAATTTTGGTATGTTTCAGTCATAATAAATAAATAACTTAAAAAAACTAAAGATTACATATCCCTAATATATGCATTGTTTTTTCAATGCTTGGTTGAGACAATAAACCTGCAACGTCTCTTGCTTTCCTTTCTCCAGATATCTTAAATACCCCTTATAAAATGATAAATTTAGACATAACATGTATAAAAACGTTGGAGCTATCTTTGCTGTGTGCTACTCTTTATCTCTAGTGTCGGGAGGACAAAGCATAAAGGCTAACAGGTGTTATGGCCACTAACACCTACCTTGTGAATCTTTGATATTCCGTTGTCAAAAGACAACTCCATGGCCTGTCTTGAGGCAGAAAAACTCTCAAGTGCTGAAACACGGTGGATGCCGGAAGGTCACCCACCGCTGATAATCTGAAATTAGCAGCACCATCCCCCTCCATGTGGTTGAGAAGGGAAACAATGTCCACTTTGCAGAAAGTGAGTAAGCTCAAGCTATAGCACCAGCCATGAGGCACAGCTCAGGCTTGAGCAGCGAAGTTAAGACTGCAAATGAGTATTGGACCTGACTTTTAAGCAAGCATGATGTTAGCCTCAGGAATTTGTTATGAATTGTCTTATTCCATGTGAATATATCTACAGAGATTCTCAACAATTGGCAAACTCCCATTGACACAATGTCAGATATTTAAAATTCCCAACGCAGAAAATGTTGGAATACCTAAGACATTGCTATCTTGCTTGGTCAAAAGCAAACAAGTTGTTAGCTGTAATGCATACAATCTGCATCTTTGCTTTATATGTTCAAGGAGAAAATTTCACATGGAAATTTAGAGACTTTGCTTCAATAAAACAGTTCCATATGTAGCTTATTGTGTTCTAAAGGCTTTGATCCAGTCAAGTTCCACTTTGAAATCGCCTGGTCCAGATTTAGCACCAGGAACACCGCCTTCTGCATTGACAGAGAGAGACATACTAACAACACGTGAAGGATTCATTTCCAGCTTTGCATCTATGACATTCCCTCTCCATGTTGGTAAGTATCGATCAAGTGGAATCTGAAAACCTCACGAGTTAATTTCCAACACCATCCTAAAGAAAGAACATGAGCAACAGTGCAAAGCATAAAACATAAAAATGTAGCAAAACTTAAAGAATCTCACAATGTTTTACATAATTTTCAAACAATTTAGGAAACCTTTGATGCATAGAAATCAAATTACTAAAAGCATGCTCAAGTGTTACACATAATGAAATCATTACTTTTTTCAGCTTTTAATAGGATTAAAACCACACAACACCATGGAGTCATTGTAGTTGCCAAAAAAAGATTTGATGATTTCCCAAAATAGTCATTTCTATTATTATTAGAAGCAGGAAACATCTCCATTATGGTGAGCCTGTGCTCTTAACTGCAAAGGAAAATAACAGTGAGATCATTTCATTCCAGGTGGCATCCAAACATGCTGTCAAGTTTCTCTGTTCTTTGTTAGATAATCATCAAGAACAGTCGGAAAATAGTTGATAGGTCATGAAACCATGTTCGCTTTGACATGTACAGGCCTTTAGCCCGATAGAACAGTTTGTCCTACATTCCTGTAGACTGCCATGCACATCAATTAGCCAATGTTAAACAGTATAGCTTGAGATAGGAATGAGTACCATATCATCCAAAAAACGATGAAAGCCACAGCTGAAAGAATGGTAACACTTCTGTTTGTCATTTCTTTTAAGAGAAGCTATTAGCTCTAAATATTTTATGATCTCAAAGAATGAAATAACCTAATATTTTCCCTCTAAGACTATGGTAAACAATGGGATTAACACAAGGTTATTCCCCCTAATTAAAAAAAAAGGAAGAGAAAAAAGACCATATCCATCTTTGATATCCAATCTTGCCAACTAGCATCAAATTTATCAAGGCGAAGAAATGTAAATATTCTTTTTGGCCATCCAACAATTTCAGCACATGAGAATCATGCAAGGGGCAAGCAACTTGCCTTCACAATATACCAATTGTCTTTGGGCACATAAACAAAAGCTTGCCATGAATTGTCTTCTTCTTGTCCAGGTGAATTTACCCAATTTTCTGTGTATATCTGCACTCAAAGGAAAAGGGTTACCAGAGATTCTTTAACAGCTCATACATCCAACAGCTAGGGAAGATTGTAAGACAAGCTGCATCAGATGGTATCTGTTAAAAAAATAAATAAATTGTTCTTGCGGGGAAAGAGAAACTCACTGTAGATATGTAGCATCTTCCATCTCCTTTAAGCCTCAATGCTATTGTATCATATGCATCCAAATCAATAAAGCCATCAAACTGCAAGTAAACATTAATATGTAAGGAATACTGCATGGCTATACTAGCACTGTAGCAATGATATAGGAAAGGAATGGAGAAATTAATTGATTTCTGCTCTACAACCAAGTTGAGTTTGCTGTAAGAAACAAAAGCACTACTACAACTATCATAGCCAAAAGGTGCCTTTAGTCAGATGGTCCAACAGAGATAAGCTTGGTGCATTTCCCCTCATGTGTGTGTCACCTATTGGTTCAATGGAGAGTATGTCAACTGCCTATTCCTTTTTGGAATGGTAGAATACTGATATGTTTCATTCTATTGCCAATGGGCATATTTATACAGTAAGCTGTTGCAATAAATAGAAAGAAAAGAAAATAGAAAGAAGAGAAAATAGAAAGTACAAAAATAGAAAGAAAGAAAAAAACTTTCTAAATCAATCCTTCCACAATCCTAAGAATATATACAATTCTATTTTCAGATCTGAACYAGTAACCCYACGTTTTCCAACACTCCCCCTCAAGCTGGTGAATAGAGATCCTCCCTTCCCAGCTTGGCTATTATTCTCCGAAAGTCTGTACTATTGAGCCCTTTAGTAAGTACATCGGCCAGTTGTCCTTTTGTAGACACATAGGGAGTGCAAATCAACTTTCTGTCCAGTTTCTCTTTTATAAAGTGTCGGTCAATTTCGATGTGCTTCGTCCTGTCATGTTGAA